AATAGTTAATAAAGTGAGTAATATTGGAAAATGTGTGGCAAACTTAGATAGTAAAGTCCTATCTTAGGCATGTTTTCTGTTTGCCATCTTCATAAATTATGCTGATCAGAGCTCGAGTAAGTTTTTAGGATGATGGTGAGGTTGGTGCAGGTGCGAAATTATTGAATTTATTGGAATTGATGAAAGCGAAAAATGTATTAGTGATCATTACTCGCTGGTACGGAGGTATACATCTTGGACCGGATCGATTTCGACATATTTGTAACTTGGCACGTCAGATCCTAGTGGACAATGGTTTTTCTGGTCGCACTTCTTAACTTTAAGTTTTCCCGTTCATCTTACTTTTGAAATAGATGAAAATGGAGGGTGAAGAATTCTCGAAATGCAGTCTCTGAATCCGTCAATGATAAATAGATATGATTATGAAGATGAATTCCTGGCACTTTTTCATGAAACATGTGAGGAACTTTTCCAATTTCGCTGTATTTTTGTAGTTGTAGCATATATGAAGAAATTACCGGATTATTTCCAAATATTCTTTCAATTATTTTGATATTATTTAAATCGTAAAATTATATCAGGGAAACTTGACTGTGATAGATTTTATGTTCATTTTTGCTTAATTATATGTTTCATATTATTTCTTTGGCTTTGAAATTGTATAAATACATTTCGAAATGTCGAAATAAGAGAATTCAGAGAATCTTGCTGAGCGAGTTTTTAAATGTGTCCCATTCTGGTTAATAGTAACGTAAAGTTAAAATAAGAATCTGGTGGGATTGATCTTGTCTTTTTGTATCTGCCTCTTTGCTTGAATGTTATTGATTATTTGATACTTTAGTGTTCATTCATTTTAAACCTTATATAAACCCAGTTCCTGTACTTGTTTCGGAGAAAAAGTGGTTTCGTCGTTCTACCCGTCTCTTGTTAATGTTTTGGTGGAAATGTAATTTATCATGCAAGTGATTCACGTGTATCTTGCAGTTATCGTTATCGACTGCATGCTGTTCTTCCTTTTGACGAGCTCTGTGGGACAAATTTGTTTTAAATATTTTCCTTATCATTTTATGTAATGTGATGCTTTTTTTTGACTACGTTCTAAATATCATCTTAGATATTTTCATTTTTAGATGATTTTTAGCGCTAATAGCGCGGATTTTCATCTGTAATTCATGGAGACATTTTATTTACTGCTTTTAGTTTTGATTAATGAATCTTGACTATAATCAACGGACTTCAAGATGTCA